AGACGTGGTAGCGCATGCCTGTAATTCCAGCTACTTGGAAGGCTGAGGCGGAAGGATCGCCGGAGCCCAGCAGGTCGAGGCTGCGGTGGCCGGAAGCGGCCACTGCACTCCAGTCTGGGCGACAGAGTGAGACTCCAACTCAAAAAAAAACCAAATTAGCTGGGCATGGTGGAGCGCACCTGTGGTTCCAGCAACTTGGAAGGCTGAGGCAGAAGGGTCACCTGAGCCAGCAGGTCAGTCAAGGCTGCGGTGGCCATTAGCGTGCCACTGCACTCCAGCCTGGGTGACAGAGAGAGATCCAACTCAAAAAAAAAAAAGTTTGATGTGACATGGGAGTCTTCAGAAATAAAAACCCAGAGCTGTGGGAAAACTGTTCTTTTTTGTGCTTGGGTTTGATGAAGAACGGACAGTCATGTAGAAATCTGAATGACAAAAATAATGTGATGTAATGGTGACAGACTGGGGAACCCCAGGAAGGCTTGTCTGTTCAGGTTCTTCTCGGTGTCTCTGTGCAACCTTCCTTCCCCGTATGAAGTAGGACCCCTCTGGAACGAGTGTCTTCAAGGGAGGGCGTGACCTTTGTAAGTTTTATGGCTAGCTTTGGAGGAGAATAGTTATGGTTTTCGTGATCGGTCTTGGGGAAAAGGAATTCTGGTGTCTGCGACTCATTTCTGGATAGGAAAAGGGGAAGGAGAAAGAAGGGCAGAAGAAAGTTGGAAAGACCTGGCTTCTGAGCCCTTCCAGTCTCCTTTAGTTCAAGTTCTCAGTGTGTGAAGCTGCCCTACTTTGGGGTATTATATTCTGAGTTCCAATGGTAGGTCCTTGTAAGATATTTCACTGCCTACTTGAGACCCAAATAATTGGCTGATAAGTCCCCCAGTCTCAGAGAACTTAAGCAAAGTCTGGTGAAAACTGCCAGGTGTTAGAAGAATCTCTTCAGAGTTGAAATCCATTAAGTTCTTCAGCCAAGGGTGAAAGAATCCCAGATGTGGGCTTAGCACAGGTCATGCCTCCTGGGGTCTTCCCCCTGCATCCCAGCCTCTCATTCTCTAGCAGGCCAGAAAGCTCCCCCTCAGTTTGACCGCACTCTCACGATACCTTGTCCCACCATTCACATGGGCTGTTTACAGCAGCATTTTCAGAATGAGGCCAGTGCAGGTAGAACATGCACCACCATGCCCAGCTAATATTTTGATTTATTGTAGAGATGAGGTCTCGCCAAGTTGCCCAGGCTTGTCTCAAACCCGTGGGCTCAGGCAGTACTCTTACCTCAGCCTCCCAAAGTGTTGGGATTACAGGCGTGAGCCACTGTGCCCGGCAATACTTTTTTTTTGTCAGGGCCTCACTCGTCACCCAGGCTGGAGTGCAGTGGCATGATCATGGGGTTCACTGCAACCTCGAACTCCTGGGCTCAAGTGTTCCTCCTTCCTTAGCTTCCCAAGTAGCTGGGACTACAGGTGCATGCCACCATGCCTGGCTAATTTTTTTTTTTGTAGAGATGGGGTCTTACTATGTTTCCCAGGCTGGTCTCAAATTCCTGGGCTCAAGCAGTCCTCCTACCTTGGCCTCCCAAAGTACTAGGATTACATGCATGAGTCACCACACCTGGCATGTAAAATTTTAAATAAATAAGTCTATTATGTTTTCCCTTGCTAACCTGCCTTTTGTTAGAGGAGTGTCAGCCATGACCCTTATGATGGGTAAGGAAAAGTCTCGAGTGAGGAGGTGGTTCTTCCCGTGTTGTGTGTGTGTGTGTGTGTGTGTGAGTGAAAGAGCGAGTGAGTGAGAGTGTGTGGGGGCCTCGGCTTGTTGTTGTCGGTGGCTTCCTCCTCCCCTCCACCCCCTCCCCTTCCTGCCGCCACTGCAGTGGCCGCTCCCTGGGCCACAGAAAATGAGCGATAACGATGGAGGTGGAGAGCGATGCTGACAAACGGGCTCATCATGATGCACTGGAACAAAAACGTAGGGACCACATCAAGGATAGCGTTCACAGTTTCCGGGACTCGGTCCCATCACTCCAAGGAGAGAAGGCATCCCGGGCCCAAATCCTAGACAAGGCCACAGAGTATATCCAGTATATGAGAAGGAAAAACCACACACACCAGCAGGACATTGATGACCTCAAGCGGCAGAATGCTCTTCTGGAGCAGCAAGTCCGTGCAATGGAGAAGGCGAGGTCAAGTGCCCAACTGCAGACCAACTACCACTCCTCAGACAACAGCCTCTACACCAACGCCAAGGGCAGCACCATCTCTGCCTTCGATGGGGGCTCGGATTCCAGCTCCATGTCAGAGGCAGAAGAGCCCCAGAGCCGGAAGAAGCTTCGGATGGAGACCAGCTAAGCGCCCAGGGCCGGCCAACAAGAACTGTCTCCACGTCCACCCCCAGTTCATCCATAGACCCCTCACAGCCATTTAAGAGACTTTTTTTCCCCCTTTTCCTTTTTTAAAACTTTTATTTTTACGTAGATGCTTTTGGACAGCAGCGCTCGTCCTCCTTCCCCACATCCACTATCCTTCAGGGATTCCCTGTCCCCATCAGGAATTTTTAAACCAAAACACCCCAACTTGGCAGCTTTTTCTGTGGACAGACAGCCGGCCGGACCTCTGAGCACATGGCGTCCTGTCCTGCCACCAGCGCCTGCAGCCCAGCCGGGCACGTGCCTGGAGGATGCCTGCCCTGCCCAGGCCACCCTGACCACCCTCACCTCTGTTTGATAGACTCTGAATCTGGGAACTGCTCCCCTGGAGACGATGGCTTGTTTGGGGTAATCAGAATGGCCCCTCCTCCTTTTTAAGGGCTTCTTTTTCTAAAAAGCTATTTATCACTCCTATTGAAAGACCAGATCCTTAAAGTGTGTGATGTGAAGGAAAGTAGGGGCAGGTGTGCAGCGTGCTCTCGAGCCCATCCACTTCTGTCCCTCTTGGGCGACTGCTTGGCCGGCTGTGCCCACCTAGCAGAGAGCACGGGCAGGAAAGGCAGCGCGGGTGAGGTGCAGCTGCCCCTGAGTGCTCAGGTGGGGTGGGACCGGGAGGTGTGTTGGGTGGGCGGAGGTTTTGTATGGAGGGCCAGTGATGATGTTTTGATATTTATTTCCTGCTACTGAAATTTGAATCTGAGTCCCTATTTCTGATGATGTCGGTATTGCAAAGCGACAGATTCCTAAAGTGATGATCAGCTCTTCCTTTCTCTCCGTGTGTCTAAGAAATAGAGCCAACTGATTTTGTATGTAAATACCATGAGCAATTTACCTGGTACTAAAACCACACCCCAGTGTGGCCCCTTTCTGTCCTCACCCTCCTCCCTCCTGTCCTGGAACCCATCTCCATCTGTGATCCAGCCCTGGTTCTGGCTGCGGTCAAGATCCCAGTGGAGGGTTTTGTGTGTTTAGGCCTCATTTCTTTGTCTTTTTCCTACTCTGTTCCTGGCATTTGCTGATTTCTAGTGTATACTCTGTAGTCTCAGTCTGTGTTTGATTCTATTCCATGGAAATAAAAAGTATGTTGTACATACTGCCGAAGAATTGTCTTGCAAGTTAAGGCTTTCCCTTTACTATAAAATAAATACTTATTTTATCCTTAAGAAAAAAAAAAAAAGAAAAGTCTCACACCTTTCCACACCATAGTACCAATGGGACAGAGACCCTGAGTGAGTATGGCTGCTAGGTGGCATAGGGAGCAGGTGGAGTGGTGCATGAAGGCTTATATGATGTGTCTGAGAAGGTGACACACAGCAGTGGCATAGGCCATGCATAGCCGAGAACTCATGACAAACCTTCCCAATGACATGTGACGTGAGACCTCTTTGCTCCAACTGGAAAGTGAAGAGACTGGAGCCCAAGTCCCGTCTGCAGTAATTGCCCAGGGCTTTTTCTGGTCATTATGTGAAACCGTGCATTTGATAGACTCTCCCACCCCCAAGCAAAGTAGACCACTGGCAACTGTGTGGAACTGAGACCCTGGGCCTGTTTCCCCAAAAGCTTTGTGCAGAGGAGAGATGGCAGCTGCACGGGCGCTTTTCATGGCTGAAGGAGCCTAGATCACCAGCTGAGATAGAAAGAACCGTTTTTAGAAAATTCACAACCACTCTCAGGACTCCAGTGTTTCTTGTTCAATTGTTGTAGGTCAAACAGTGGCCCCCAAAAGGTATGTCCAAGTCATAACCCCCAGAATAAGCAAAGGTGACCTCATTTGGAAAACGGGCATTTGCAGATGTAATTATGAATCATCTGGATTTCCAGTGACAGATATCCTTGTAAGAAGAGGAGAGAACATAGAGACACAGGAGAGCCCATGTGAAGGTAGAGGTGGCAATAAGCTCTGCAATCCACAGCCGACCAAGGAACACTGCAGCCACAAGAGACAATCAAAGAAGGGACTCTCAGGGCCTCCAGAAGGAACCCACCCCGCTCTGACATTTGTGACTGAACTTCTGGCCTCCAGCACTGTGAGAGTAAATTTTTGCTGTTTTAAGCCCCCGGTGTGGTGATTTTTGACGGCAGCTCCAGGACCCTGACACGTTGATCAACACAATGAGCATGCCCCTGCAAGTTGCCACAGCCAAGACGAAAAGCTAAGGCAGAACACTGGGGAACTGCGGCCATCACTTCCTGTGCTTCATCCAAGCCTCTCCTCACACACCTTGGGGAATGTTGTGTACCCTGTGAGCAGCTCAGAGCAATGCATGTTTACTGAATACATGAGCCAGTGAAGATGCTGGCTCATTTCCAACTTGAGGCTTGATTCTTACTCCCGCACTCATGTCACCCACCTTGCACTCTGTGGGGCAACACAGAGCATCAGAAACTCAAGCAGGAAGAAGTGAGTACTACTGTCAGAAGACCAGGTCTCAGTGATGCTGTGCAGTTCAAGCACCCTGTGGGTAAAGCCCAGGAGGTCTCCTCACAGGATAACAAATCCCAGTAGCACCAATGCAGTACAGCAAGATATCAGCCATCTATAGGCCTGTCTACCTCTCCCAACCTGGGACAATCTGCATTCAGAGGCCAGATTCCAGGAGTTTCTGTATTCCGGGTCCCTCAGTTCACCCACCATTGCAACTCAGCAGAGAGCCCTATCATGTACAGCTACACTGGATCACTATGCTCCTGTGAGGACAAACCATCAGAGGACAAGCAATGCTATGCCCTACCTCCTTTCCACAATGTGACCAGCCACATTTCTTTGCCTTGTAGTCAACTGTTGATTCTTTGGGTGTTCTGGAGCCAGCTCAGCACTCCTGCCAAGCCAGTGCCATTCCAGGCACTGATTTCTGCCGTGGTGATATTCTGGCTGGCACAAGCAATGATGTCTGGGAGCCTGATTAATGACTTGATCTCCTCCATGGTCATGTAACAGGGTAGGTCACTGGAGTTAAAGCAATGTCCTGTTAGAGTAGGGGCTGCCATAAACCTGCCCCTGACCCCAGCCACCTCCATGTCCCCACCTACATTTCAAAGGAGCTCCTCTCTCTCCCCAGTCCCCTGGCCCCCCTTTCAGCTCATGGACCCATACATTTTATTGAAGAGTATCAGGACTGATGTTTCGGCAAGTTGTTCTGCAGAAAGGAGACCCAAGAGCTGCACACAAGATGCAGAGAGCTGGGTGGGGTTAGAGGCATCCATCATGAACTGGAGAAGAATAACAAGAAAAAAGATGTCAACAACACCTTGCTATTGAAAGGTCATCTTTGCCAAGCTTTCTCTCCTGGGCCAGAATGATTTTATTTATGTTTATTTATTTTACTTTATTTATTTATTTACTTTTGAGTTGGCAACTCTCTCCGTTGCCCAGATTGGAGTATAGTGGTACGTGCACGACTACTGCAGCCTCTACCTGCTGGGCTCAGGTGAGCCCTCCGCCTCAGCCTTCCAATTAGCTGGAACCACAGGCATGCACTACCACACCTGGCTAATTCCTTTTTTTAATTGTAGAGACAAGGTCTCGCCAAGCTGCCCAGGCTGGTCTCGAACCTCTGGGCTCAGGCAATCCTCTTGCCTATGCCCCCCAAAGTGCTGGGATTACAAGTGTGAGACACTGCGCCTGGCTGGAATGATTTTTAAAATTTTTTTTTTAGTTGAAGTCTCATTCTGTCACCCAGGCTGGAGTGCCCTGGCACACTCATGGCCACCCCAGCATTGACCTGCTGGGCTCTGGTGATCCTTCTGCCTCAGCCTTCCAAGTAGCTGGAACTACAGGCGTGTGGTACCGTTCCTGGCTAATTTTTTGATTTAATGTAGAGACGAGGTCTCGCCCATTTGCCCGGGCTGGTCTTGAACCTGAGGATTCAGGCAATCCACTCTCCTTGGCCTCCCAAAGTGCTGGGATTACAGGCTGAGCCATGAGCCTGGCCCTGGAATGAATTTAAACAAAGGGCTTTGGGGGAATAGGCAGAAGCAGAGAAAAGTGAGTTGTATGAGCTGAGTTCAGTAGCTCAGCCTGTAATCCCAGCGCTTTGGGAGGCTGAGATGAGTGGATTGCCTGAGGCCGCGGGTTCGAGACCCAACTGGACAACTTGGTGAGACCCCATCTCTACAAAAAAAAAAAAAAAAAAAAATTAGCCGGGTGTAGTAGCGTGTGTCTGTAGTTCCAGCTACTTGGAAGGCTGAGGCGGAAGAATCGCCAGAGCCCAGTAGGTCAAGGCTGCGGTGGCCGGAAGCGGCCACTGCACTCCAGTCTGGGTGACAGAGTGAGACTCCAACTCAAAAAAAAAAAAGAACTCAAACCTCATCCTACACAAAGTGAGGTCGGGAATTAGACAGCACGAGAATGGAGATACAGCTCCCTAAAGAAAGTTCACAAGATTATGACCTACCAGGAGAGAATGGCAGTTTCCATAGTAGCTGGGCCAGATGGGGCCCATGCACCCCCCTAGCTCGCGGATGGTGATCTTTCTTTGAGCCACGATGTCAGTAAGATCGGTGCCCACCTGTGGGAAAACCACGATGCAGAAGGAGAACAACGCAAGCGCTCTCCCTGTGGTGAACTTTTGGATGGCAGCGTGCCCACACTTTACACCGTGGCCTAATACTCGCAGGCCCATTCTCCAAGGGCTCAGGTTCTAAGGCAGGACCAGTAAAAGTTGCTTCCTGGGATCCAGGGCCCTAGCTCTCAGGGCAAGAGCAGCCACACCCATCAGTGGGATTCGCCCTAGGGGCGAGCAGCCAAAGGAAACGCTTGGAAGGGAAGAAGAAAAGTATTCACGGGGAGGGCAACCAGCTCCGGATCCCCCGCCAGGCACCCACCACCGCTTCGGCTCTGCCTGGCGCAGGGACTTTACGCTCGCCTCCTGCAGGTGTCCTAACACACCGACCAGCTGCGTCAAGCTCTGTGCAAACCGCAAAGGTTACCCATTGTAATCAACCCTGTGGAAGGCGGACACCTACCGTGGGCCGTGTTGGGGGCGGCACCCCCAGGTCGGCCTTCCCATCCCGAGAGCTCAACTGTGCGGGGCGGTCAAGGACCTGAGCGGAATAGGAGAGGGAATCCCGGCCCCAGTCCCTGGGTACCGCCCGCTCCGGCCCTCGGATGCCTCCCGCGCCGCTGGGGTTCCCGCACCCGACGCAAAGGATATTCTGCAGTTGTTTCACCAGGAGCGTCTTCCCGACGCCCGTGGCCCCCAGCAGGAGACACATCCCGGCCCTTCGCTCCACTCGGCATCCGTAGCTCTGCGCTGAAACGCAAGACCCACCCTCCGCCCGCTTTCATTGGATGAACTTTACCTCCAGACTGTTCATTGGTTCTAGTAACTCACCTCGCAAAGGACGGAGTCCAATCGGCGCGCAGTATCAAGGGGCAAGCGGAAGGTCCCTCCTCTTCACTTCTCGAGGGCCGGCGAGGCGAGGTGCGCGTGCGCGCGATTGCTGGAGGGGAAAGGCGGAAGCGGAAGTTAGGGGGCGCGCCAGCTCGGAGCGAGGGAGCGCCCGCGGCGTCGGGTCCGGGTCCGAGGTCGCCATGGGGCGAGGCAGCGGCACCTTCGAGCGTCTCCTAGGTAACGCGCCCCCGCCCGCCGGCCGATTCTTGTTCCGCCCCGCGCCCCCTCCCGGCGCTGAGCCAGCCGCCCTGTCCGCCCGCTCCCGGCCCGCGGTCCCCCAGACGCACAGATTCCAGGGCCCTAGCATTGCTGGCCCCGCTGCGGGGTCTGCGTCCGTCCGGCGTCAGCGAGCCCGGGCGCCGTGAGAGTTCGCGCAGGTCGCCGGCGTCCTCACTCCCAGGGCCGGGCAGTCGGCTGATTTCCCCTTGACCGACAAGCACCTGACCGAGCGGGCCGCAAGTCCTGAGTCATGAAAGTGGGTGTCTCCGTCAGATATTAAGGTCTCGTTTGGGATTTCTGACCCAAACTTTAGACCCCGAAGGGTGAAGCCAGGAGTGTCCTCCCCGGGACACCTTTGAACTCTTTTGAGGGCTGTAGGGATCTAGGCCAGCTAGTTTGTCTCCAGGAAGTGTTCGATGGTTTAGGAAGGAGTTTTCTCAGTTGGTCCTATCTGAGCCTCCTGGAGTTCACAAGTTTTAGGAAGGAAAACGAATGCTTATGTGCATGTCCCCCTCTCCCTTAGTGAAAATGTGCTGTGTTTGGGGAGAGGCATTCGGTGTTCTGATGGCCTGCCCCAAACCTGCCCTTTTCTTCAGTATAGTTTTTGAGGAGACCTCAGAGGAGACACCTTCCTTACTCCAGGAAGATGGAAGGCTGAATATGGGGTGGTTCGGTGCTTCAAGGATAAATCCAAAAGTTAAGTTGGATCAGTACTGGAAGTGGATATTAGTTTGTTAGGTTGTTTTTGTTTCTTTAGGGAAGATGGTATTTGCAGAGCTGCAGCAATAACCCCTGAGAGCCTACTTGTCAGAGATAATGGTGATGTGGAGAGAGGATAGGTGTTAGTTGGAGAATTCTCCTTGGAGGTCCCTTCTGCCTGTGTCCCCCAAAGCACTTGAAACAGAGAATGGGAGTCTATACTGCAATTCTCTCCAGCTCTTGCCCCAGCTAAGATCTCATCGAAGGGGAAGTATCTGAAGACCAGGGACTCTGAGGGACCAGGTGACAGAGTTGGTTGTGGAGGAGCAGCTGAGCTGGTGTTTAAGAGTGAGTCAGGGGCTAGGCTCAGTGGCTCAGCCTGTAATCCCAGCATTTTGGGAGGCCAAGGCGAGTAGACTGCCTGAGCCTGCGGGTTAGAGACTAGCCTGGGTAACTTGGCGAGACCTCATCTCTACAATAAATCAAAAATTAGCCAGGTGTGGT